GTTTTAGCACCTTTTAAAAATAGCCCCCTTTAAAGCTTTCGGTGGGCGGGTGTTAAATGAAATGTCCCCGGACTACAACCATAAGTGGCACTGCAGATAATGGCCATCATTGTCTGATTTGATGGTCGCAAACAAGGTCGTTGCAGCCGCATATGGAGTCATATTCCTCAAGCAAAATGTTTTAACATTGACCGAAAGCTCTAATGTTGAAACTTTATAGCCATTCTGCTGCCTCACTGCTGGTGTTAATGGTCCCCATTCTGGCTGCCGCTCCCCTACTCCCCTACTGTACTCCTTCCTCAACATCAAGCTTTTCAGCTTCTCTGTCAAACGGCTCAACAGGCCGACTACTGATCGCTCTGATGGATGAGCGAACGAGGAGAGGAGTCGTGAGCCTCACACTCGAGCGTGTGGAGGTTCAGCGCCCCGTTACACCCACGCCAAGCAGTCCAATCGCCTCCAGACTTTGACACATCATTTCCCCTGTGATTTGTGGCCAGATTGAGGTTGAAGGAGACAAGGAAATTTTCTGTCCTCATGAGAACAGATGGATGTTGCAGCACTGCAGACTGAGCCAAAGGTTGTTTCTTTTTTTCCTCCCTTCCAGAAGAACCCTCTTGCTTTATAAGGGATTGGTTTCATACTCCATAATGGAGTCATGATGACTAGCTATTACAGCACATTTTCAGAAAACAACCTACTATTTTTTTTAACTTTTGGATGACATAGACTGACTGTCCTTCCAGGAAAGTGATATCTGTTATTTTGAAAAATACTTGTAAGTACCGAGCGGCAATGGATAATTTCCCATTTGTCGTCTTTGTGCTGTTTCATTCAAGATCAAAGTTGGGACTCCTCTGTTTGTGATCAAAGATGGACGGTAATGCCACGAAATGATGCGTGATGTAACGTACATGCAATTGGTAAAATGTGATCGGCTTGTCAGGGTAACAAATGGTCACCGTCTTTTTCATCCACCCCCCAACCCCTAACATGTTTGATCTCATCTCTGAGAAGCGAAGCCTCCGGCACCTCCCTTGGGACGTTTGATGTTGGAGATCAGAGCTTATGGTGGTGCAGGCACTATGGCGATCGGGGCTTCACCATTACCGCACGCCACATCCAATCTTCTCACCATCAGATAACTTCAAAGAATTTTCGAAACACCACCTTCCAAAAAATCCAGAGTTTCCCACCGGTGTTGTCTGTTAGATTAGCAGCATGTTATTGAAGTTTCTTGAAGAAAAAAAAAAGTCTCTGACTCTGCTGAAATCTATCATCACCTCAGGCTCCGAGATGTCGTTGCACACCACAGATTTTTTTTTTCATCTCTGTCTGATTCTTTCTCTCTTCTGGGCATTGATCTCCAGCTCTGCCAATAGCTTCTCCTCTGTGAGACCTTTCCTCGTCCTCCATCTCTTATCCATTATTCATCACTCTCAGCTCTTTCTGCCAAGCCATAATACCTCTTACCTCCAGACGATCATTTTGCTGTTTTGCAATATATGAAACAATGACACCCTGCCTGTTGCTTTCTTGCTAGAGATGCTGAAACAGAAAAGTAGATTTCCATATTTTCGCACCATGGACAGGGTCCCTCATCCTCTGACTTTGCTTATACAAGACAGAGTGAGCAGCCATGCTAGTGGCTCTGTGAAGCTGTACTGGTGCTTTGAGCAGCATGGTAACAAGATCACAGTGACAACACTAACATGCTGATGTTTAGCATGTATAATGTTTACTATGTGCCCCATCTTAGTTTAGTGTGATAGCTGGTTAACATTTGATAATTAGAGCTAAACACAAAATACAGCTGAGTCTGATGGTATTTGGTCATAACCCAAAGTATTGAAGAAATTTAGACCTGATTATGACCTGATAAAAAGTCAGAAGATCACCAGTGGCACCAGGGATGTCTGTATCCACTTTTGAGCCAATGCATTAAGAATATGTTGAGATATTTAACTGAATAAGTGAAAACATTGACTTCCTATATCGTCAGCAGCTGGTCAGAGGATCACCGAAGTCTGTATAATTTCTAATGTTGGGACCTTTATTCAATGGCAAACCATCCCTTAGGTGTCAAGATATTTCACTCACATAATCACAAATGTCAACCTGCTAGTGGGTCTAGATGAAAAGTAAGGGAATGACCAAAGATGCAAGGATTCATCATCCAGGGAACATGAACGTCTGTACAAAATTTCATGACAATCCTTTCCAAAAAATGGTGGACCGACTGAAATTGCCTTCCCTAGGGTCATGCCACTAGCATGCTTAAAAAGCCATCATAACTTTGCAACCATGTGCCATCTCAGCTTTTCTAAAGTTTGGTGAGTCAATCACATTTGAAAGAGTGTAAAGTACAAAATCTGTGTGTCAATAAGGAGAGATTAAGTGTTAATCTCTGAAAATTGACTATCTGAGAAGAAAGAGGACTTCAGAAGGATCTTTTCATACTCAATACATCTGAAGTGAAGTGAAGAGGTTGCCATGAGTCATCTGCGCTGAATCGTAAACATAGTGAACACTTTCTTCTCTCGATGTTATGAAGCCGCTCTGCTACTTCACAAATATCTTCATGCTATGAGTGCTCTCGTCTCTCTGTCTCACTGGTCAGACAACATCAAAGTGACTCGAGTGAGATGCACTTTTATGAATCCTCCTATCTGTGAGAGATTTTGTTGCACTGCCACACTTGACGCTGCCACAGTCAACATATAATTGTATCTTTATGTTGTAAAATAGAATCACATTCTTATCCCCAAAACAAGTCTGTAGCACAAGATGTCTGTCAAACTGCTTTTGGTTGCCATGTGGATTTTTTCTCAAGAAATTTGACCAACTGACCACTAAAACTGATGAGTTAATTGTTGCTACAGTATGTGCCTGTTCGTTGGCTGTATTTCTACTCTATTCACTGTGGGTTACAGATATGACTGATTTCCGTATTCGCTGTCATATGAAAAAATAAAGCTTACTCTTGAACATATTTGTAACGTGCACATCATCCCCTTCCTTAGAGTGTAAACTGGTTATGACTGACAGACAGATATAAAGAAATAATCTGCACCAGCAATCATTCAGTCAATTATACGGCAACCTCCACGATCTAAGACATCCTGGACAAATAATCAATGTACACGAATATCAATTGACAGACATATTATCTCTAGAGGCAAAAAACTACCGTTTGAAATCTCTTAAAAAAGAACCTCCCAATCATCCGATTTAACTTCATGAAGTGCATTGTGACTGACAAACAGTACACTGAGCAGAGGCAATGAGAGGTGATGAGAAAAATCACAGACAATATGTTCAGATAAATACATAAACACACTGTGCAGAATGATGTCTGTGCAGAGTTGGATCCTATAAAGATGTTTTCACATTCATCTGCTGGAAGTGGAAAGTTTCACGGAGAACAGACTTTCAGTGAAGTAGGAGACATCTTGTGTCCAGCAGGAAAACCTAAGAAATTAACAACATTTGCATATTTATAGATTCTGTGATTTTTTAATGAGATAGAAGCTGCAGATGCCTTTTTAAGGATTTTAATGTGGAAAACATAGTAGACACACATTATTGTTCCAAGCAGACTGTATATGTCTTAATACATGTCTGGAGGGGATCTTTAAACATTTAATTATTTTTTGTCTTTTCACTGAAATACTGAAAGTAGAGCTGTCAATATATATATGTTTTAAACACTTCATTTATCAGTTTCTTCATACAACATTTAAAGGCAGCATTAACCGCAAAAAATGGTACAATGTGGTAAAACTGGATCATGACTTCCTTGATCCATAGCGTAAATGCTAAGACTGGTAGCCTTCCCTCTAGTTAGGATTAATCGTCGTGCTAACAGTGAAGTGAATGCTATAACATTCGACTGATATAAAGTGATATTAGGTTCTGTTGATGGTACACCAAATACCGCCATGTATAGACAAGGATCTATTGTTTTGTTGCAGATATAAGAGTACACTTGAAATAAAGAGATCCAGAAATTATTTAATGAGTTACATGACCAGAACTTATGACCCATTGTCGCTGGTGACTGGGGGAATCTAGGACAACTGGAGTTCTGAGAGTTTAGCTTCAGTAAAGTAAAGATGATGCATAACTTTGAATTGTAGCCAGCAATGACGAGTGCAAATACATGAGGAATGAATGTGAATAATAATGAGATCCCAAATGGCGTCGGGGAATGCCACCTTAAGATCTTGTTCTCAGGCGTCCTTTGGCTCGGTCAGTGTTGGAAGATGGATGTGTAGTCTTGAAATACTGCCTTTAAGGTTGGCGTCAGGCCTTAAGCAGTCCGCTTAAGAGGTTGTACAGTTTTACTAACAAATAAACTATATGAATAATCATTTTGTTGTTGGACGAAGTTGTTTCACCAAATATTTCCACTTCCCTGCCTCCTTCTGGCTCAGCGGTGCTAAACGTTGAGCATGTAATTTGATCTTGAAGTTTTATGCCACACACATTACTTTGAAGCAGTCCCCAAAGCACAGTGTTACTCCGTGTAATGATGTGTGTATGATACATTTAGAAACAAATCTATCTCATAACCTTAACATGTAAAATGTGTGTATTATATTTTATTATATATATATATATATATTATATACAACATATGGAGCAAACATATTCCTCAATCATCTTCCTTTTTCTTGCCTGGTAATTAAATAGTATATTTGTTGCTGTACTATAATATATTTGTTATTTTTACACAGTATACTTCCTGTTATACTTGATATTTTCCTCTTCATAGTATATGTGTTGCTGTCATACAATATACAGTATCTGTCAGCTGCGACTGCTGGCAGATTTATGATGCAACTGGAAAGCCTCTAGTTTTTTGTTTACTCTTCAATTCAAGCTATTAAAATGACAATGAATAAATGAAAATTGCAATTTGATTGATCATAAAGTTTTAGTCTATGATTGCTGCATTTCTCAGACTTGTCATAAGTGCGCTTCCCCTCCTTCCACAGAGGAAGTCGTTGATCGCCACCAGTCTGATCGTGGCGGTGTCGCTCTTCGTGGTCGTGGTGAACTACTCGGAGAAGCCCTACTTCCTCCTGCAGCCAATGTTCGGGCAGACGTTCAGCAGCCACTGGATGTTCTCCAAGCAGCCGTACAAGGCCTTCAAGCCTCACCTGGGCTATGTTAGCATCCCAAAACAGGAGGTGAGGGACACAAATAGACAAAACACACAGACACATGAGCAAGCAGGATTGTCAGCTGGATATATATGTTTGACTAGACTCGATATGAGCTGCTACTGAGTATCATTTCTCTGGGTTCTCTGTATGTACAAACTAGTTAACTTAAAGGTGCTCTAATTCATATTTTCATATCAACAAGGAATTAATGAACTATGTGTAAGTAAGTATATATGTTAAGGGTCACTTTTCCCTCTCACTACAGAGCAATTTGGTGTCTTTCAGCTCATTGCTTTGGTTTTAAAACCTTTAACTTTACTGTCTTGACTCACTATCACTGCTTTCATCAGCAGTGTTTTCAAGTCGACTGTACGCTACATGCTCGGCACCAAACAGCAGACAAAGTTAACAGCTAGCTGCTGAACAAAGTGGAGCAGAGTTATAGAAGAAAAAAATCCAGCTAAAAGCAAAGTGGACACTGGGCTTATGGAAAAACAACTCCAAATGAATGCTCATCATACTGTTAATGTGGATGTGTTAATAGCGACTCACTGCTAACAAGCTCACTATATCAACGTAATGAGGTGTTAAAATGGTGACATATTTACAGCTTGTTGCTCTGCACCCAAGTGGGCAAAAAATAAATGAATGTAGGTTGAAGATAGTGTAAAAGTACTTTCATATTGCAAAATATACATCATCCCAAATTACTTTAGTTTGTTATTATGGCAAATTATTACCTGTTGGGCTCAGGACATTTAATTTAGCTACACTGATTGATTGATTTACATGATAAAACACAATATTGCTGCTAAAACTTATAGATTCTCTATATTTAAAAAGCCAATAAAAGCTAAAAGATGACAAATTATGAAAAGGGGCAAAGTGATGTTTTAGTGATTGAGGCAAACAGTGAAAACTTCAATTTTTGACTAAAAGCTGACTGATAGACGTTTACCCTTAACGACAAGACACTACATCATAAAGTATAATCCTGGAAGTTTTAGCTTTAATGTAGTTTGAACATTTTATTTTGAATCTCTGCTGAAATAATTTTCAATCTTAAGATGAAAGCATTAACAATGAACATTTATACATTTGTCATATTACAGCGTGAGTGTAATAACTTGCGTCATACACAGGCAACCCTTTTCTGTCATGGCGCCTTCATATTCTCTAACCTCTATTAACATTAACCTGCTATCACACAGCTTCACCTCAATAATGAAGGTGTATTCAAATGCACTCATGCAAAAAGCACAGCACCTCCTTGAGGATTTTCTTAATTCATTATATCAGGTTTTCTGTGATGGATCTGAAAACCCCTGTTTGATGTCTCCTGCGAGCATTATTTCTTTGTAATTCCAAGCACTCATGTCCGTGATCCTATTCTTCTGCCTTCAAACAGCTCTGTGCTGTATATTCCCCGCACAATTTATGGAAATTGAAATATCAAAGCCTTTTAATTCCCACCAGATCAAAATGTAAAACCCAAGCTGTGTGTTTGTTGTTTAGGGAGGCAGCCGACAAAAACTGAAATTGGGCATATATTGGCGGATATTGGGTAGTCACGCAGGAAAATCATATAATTTGCTTGCATGAGATGCATGCAATATCTCTAGCTGACAGGTCATTGGGTTGTGCTCTCAGTTTGGGTTGCAATACATCTAGATTTGGTGTAGCGATGGATGCGTTGGTCCTTCATGAGAAGTGGATGCCTTATATTCAGTCCGCTGATATTGGCGGATTAATGCGGAGCGTCTTCTTCTGCCTCCAGAGAGTTTGATCCACACAACAGGGGCCCAGAGGCAATCACGTTTTACACCAATTTCTACGTCTGCACCTCCCTCTGCCTCTAGACAAGCCTGCTTAAATCACTGCCCTCTCCCCATGGAGATTTATGCAAATCATTGGAAAGACTGGCAGCTTCTGAAGAATTAGGCCTCTTTTCGGCTCAAATTCCCCCACCAGTGAGCTCTTTATAGCAGATCAGGAGGGGCAATGATTGGGCTGAACGTGAGTGTCAGAAGTGTTCTGTGCACTCCCGAAATTTTCTGACAAAGGACGGACAGAATTGTGGAGGTCTGGTCCAGGTGATACTCTTGTGCTGGGTGTCGTAAGCGATTACGTCCGGAGTGAAAGCCTGCTGTGTGAGCTGTCAGCCTCTGTTAAGCACACGGCAACACCTTAAGAACCAGTAATATTTCTCCTGGACGGTAAGGCAATCTTACATGATCCACAGTGAGGTGTCATTTGTGGTGTTATAAACCTCTTGCAAGCATGTATAATGCATAACCCGGTAGCATGGGAATGGTCTGCCTTATTTTCCTCATTTGATTGAGTCTGCCTGCAGGTGTGATAAATTGTTCCTGCTCTGCTTTTCAGGAGAAATAGAAAACATTTGTCTTGTGGCACTTTACATTCATGCCCCTGGTCTATCACAGATGGAGACAGAAACTCAATATTTTCATTTAGACCTGAAAATTTTAAATCCAGGCCTTTTTAAAGTACACAATACCCAACAAGAGGGGGAAAGTGTATCTATTTTTGGATTGCTTTGTGAATCATTTTACTGAGAGATCTTCAGGCCTGGGTTGCACCATCTGTTTTGTAAAGTTCCTTCTAAGTTCCCAGTAATTACCAGCTAGTTTCACATTATGCTTGTTAAGCCTTTAGTGTAAATGAGTTACTAGGGAGCATCTGTAGCGCCTTCCGATCAAAAGAAATAAACTGGAAACAGAGTCACTGTACCGTCACAAGCTCACGAGCTGAAACATAACTTCCAAAAATAACTTTTAAAGGAAGGACCCAAAATATTTAACTAAGTATGGCTTATATTTTATTTATACATGCATAAATAGAGAAAAATGTGTTTCAGTCTGTCTGAAATCACTCCTTATACTGCACTGTATTGACTGTTAAATGTATTCACTATAGTGTCCTCAAATATTCCACAGTTGAGTGGCCTATGTGTCTATGGCATGGACATTTGTTCACTACTACCCACAATACAAAGCTTTGCAGTTTATTAATGAGTAAACGACACTTGTGCGATGCAAAATGATGATGCTGCAAGACAAATGTAAATGTCCAAAATGTCAATTTACTGCTCAATATTCGTAGGAGCTTTGAGGGAGTGAATGAGGTAGTGGTTTCAGACATCAGAAGTAGTTGTAGTGTTCATGCAGATATAAAAAATAAGTGGGAAATATTGGATTGAGCTAACCTAACCAGAGTTATTTAGTAACTCAATTGGCATTTAGTTTTAAAATTTTTACAATACTGGGTTTCTTCTCTGTTTACGTCATAATTATTAACAGCAGTTAATTTAAGTGTCAGGTAGGATATGTCAACCACAAGACTTTGGCACTATTTATAATACATATAAAGCTTTTGTTAATAAGGTATCTGACAAGGTATCACCTGACAAGCGTGGGCCCCTTGCCAATCCAAGTAATTAAATGTGTGTTTATATGTATATATCTTGTGGTTGACATATCCTACCTGACACTTGATCAACTGCTGTTAATAATAATGATTTCAAGTTGAGTTACATATATATATATATATATATATATATATATATATATATATATATATATATAAATATATATATGAGATGATAGATGATATTTCACTATGGATGAAAGTGGTGGACCAACCAAACTGACATTGCCATACCTAGAGTTATGCCCCTAGCAAAAATGGCTAAAATCTAAGCGTAGCTGCAGCTTATTTAGTTAAAGTAGTTTTCTACTGTTATTTACTGAGATGCCGTTTCAGACATACAACCTTTTTTAATTCTTTAGTATAATGTGCGTGCCCCAAGAGGAGCATTTAGAATTAATCGCTTTTCCAATGTAGACAGCAACAGCTAATCAATGCATTTTTAAGTGCCATGGAGGCTTCTAACACTGGTACTTGGCACGTTAATGTAATAATTATTGCTTATTAATTAATCGTGTTTAGAGCATTTTAATGAATGTCAAGGTTAAGTTCACACCCTAGTGCTATAATTCAATGATGACCGTGTTCCCAGCATTAAGCCTGCTTTTTTTAAATAACCCACTTTATTTTTAACACACTCATGCATTAAAATCTGAGGCTTTGAGTAGATTTTGTACTTATCAGAGGGTGCCAAAATTATTGGGATTATAAAAGCGCACTCTGTTTGCGATTACTGCATGCAACACTGAAACAGCACCGTCGTGAACATTAAACTGAAACATCAATCACAGCTGAGAAGATGAAGAGGCCATAACATTTTATTGATTTACAGGACGTAATGTTCAGAGATTTGTTAGGAACTAGATTCCAGTCTTATATACTAAATAAAAGTGTTCCAGTAGAGGTTACAGTTGTTAGATGAAGTTTTACACACCTCCTTAATACATGTAAATGTGATTAGTGTTCACGGGAAGCTAATTATGTTCTGTAAACTATTCAAATACCTGTTTTTCATTTTAAATTAACCTTAATTAATGCAGGAAATTTCTCACTTTCTCAAGCACAATGTCAGTGGCAGCTTTACTGCGGCAGCTGTGTGGCAAACGCCTTGCTCAGGGGCTCCTCAGCCATTGGTTTCCAGCCACAGAAGTATGTGTCTCAAATGCAGTTAGCCAACCAGTGTTCCCCACAGAGCTCAGCCAATCTGTGTGTGCTGAAAGGCGTGATGGAGTTATGAGCTGGGCTGAAGGGAGCGGGTGATGATGGACGAGCTGCTGACAGCTCAAGGCTGCGGTGATGTGTGTCTCAACCAGCCAGTAAATGGAGAGCTACCAGCCCAGGTCCAGAGATCATTTCTTAACCCATGACTGAATCCATACATGGGAGAAAAATCAATAGCAGGTAGCTCTGTTGGAGTAATTCACGCAAGAATTATGTCTCGTTAGAAAAAAAGCACTGTTTTTGTTTCCTTTCCAAGCTGTTGATCTTCTGTATGCACAACAATGAATCATATGAGAGATGATAAGCCAAGTATTCATAATAGAATTTACTGGATCGTCTTGTGGGATTCTGAACAATAAAACTCTCTTGTTTGTTGATTAAACGCCGAGCATGCAAGAGAGAGTTTCATGTTTGCCGCCTAAACAGTCGTCCAGAACGCAGCACAAATGCAATTTGTATGCAAACCAGTGACATTACAGTTATTCTCCATTAAGCAAATTATCAAACAGGGCTTAGTCATGATACAGTGGTTTTTCTTTTCTAACTTTCTCATGCATTCATTCACTTAAGTAAGTTTAATCTCATCAAAACAAACCAAGCATATTAGCTTCAATTAGGTAAATCTCCCATTTCGGATTCAGAGAGGGCTTTCTTCCTCCCTTGACAAAGCATAGCTAAGAGCTATTATTGAAGATTCATTACAAATCCCCGTGCTCCAGTAAAGTATAATAAGATATATAAAAAATATACAGTAAGATAAATGACGCAACTCCCTTGCTTCTTTCTTCTGCATTGTCGCAGTAAGACTGGTGTAACCTCTGAGGTCCCACATTCAATTAACTTAATCAATGTTAGTTCTGGGCACAGTGACATTAATCTGAAGAAATAAAAGAAAATTATATAGGGCTGTAAAACCCTGATGAATAGTTTTTTCTAAATAATTACCAAATGCATTTTATTTTATGTTCTGATCGCACAAGCCCTGAGCCAAAACATCACTTTAATATTATTATTGCACACATATAAAGTATATCACAAACTATAACATCATAAGATGAAAATTAAACAACATGAGATAGAGTATATTTTAGAGGAAATCCACTTTCAGGGGTTAGCATTCAATATTAATTAACTGAATTAAATTAAATTAAAAGACAAGAACCAGACATGCAGCACTTTAGAACTGTCTATGGTTAATTTCACCAGTCGAGGTCTAAATAGGATTCCTATTTTTTATGATATTGCAAAATATTCTTGAATCCATTTTAGAAGAATGTGTATTGCTTTTTTCAAATACTTGAAAAATAAAAGATACAAACCCCAAAAAGAGTTGTTGATCCATAACGTTGATTACCACTACAAATTAAAATTTTGTTCTTTATTCTGTTTTTCCGAAGTTAATTCCAAGACAAACCTATGTTTCCTTACCAACGTCCTTGAATTTTTAGGATGTTGTTAGCTGTAGACACATTGTCTTGCCTTGTTCTCAAGCTACAAAAGAAAATGATAAAGCAGTATTTTGCACTGTGAGATATTTCATTTCTCTTGGGTCTAGTTATCTAGTTTCCTTGTGCCTCTATTGTGTGAGCTGTCCCACAGCCCTGCTGATTGTTGTTAATAGAAGTTGCTAAAAGTTATTGATTGTTTATTGTCTCTTTAACCACAGCTGTAGACTTGAGAGTCATATTCAGCTCACAAGAATGAGAGCTTGAGACTTAACTTGGACTTGACTGCTGTGGGATGTGACTTACTTAAGACTTAAAAGTCCAGTGTGTAGGATTTAGTAACTCCCTGCAACTCCCTCGCTTCACCCTCCGCGTCCATGTATGAAGGGGAAACTGCGGTGGCTACGAAACACACAGAAAACAGTAATGCCCCTATTTAGAGCCAGTGTTGGTTTGTCCATTCTTCGCTACTGTAGAAACATGGTGATTCAATGGCATCTGTAGATGTAAAAGGCGTCAGTCGTCTAGCCATCACAATTTGGCCCCTTGTCAAAATCGCTCAAATCCTCACGCTGCCCATTTTTCCTGCTTCTAACACATCAACTTTGAGAACAAAGTTTTCACTTGCTGCCTAATATACCCCCCCCTGACAGGAGCCGAGATAATCAGTGTTATTCACTTCACCAGTCAATGCTCATACTGTTATGGCTGATCGGTGTATATAGTAATGATTAATTGTTGTAACCGACTTGCTTTCTCTCCTTCAGCCTCTGAAGCTGCGCTGTGAGCTCTGCAGCATCGTGTCCAGCTCTGGACAGATGTTGGGCCAGGCTGCCGGCCTGCAGATTGACCGCTCTCCCTGCATCTGGCGGATGAACAACGCGCCCACACGGGGCTTCGAACGTGATGTGGGCCAGCGGACCACCTTGAGAGTTGTCTCTCACACCAGCGTCCCCCTGCTGCTGCAGAAGCCCCAGTACTTCTTCGGACAGGGCAACGACACCGTCTACGTCGTGTGGGGGCCGCTACGAAACATGAGGAAGGATGGGAAGGGCATTGTGTACAACATGCTGCGACAGGCGGCAGAGAACTACCCTCATGCACGAATCTACGTCACCACAGAGGACAGGATGAACTACTGCGACATGGTCTTCAAGAAGGAGACGGGAAAGGACAGGTGAGTCAGACCACAGTCTTCTTCAATTGTTTGTGCCTGTTTTTGGCGCAGCATCAGTACATTCCACAGCAGACCTCCTTTTTTTCTCTCTGACAAATTCACCACTCAGTGCTTTGACATTCACTGTTCTCTTCGCCGCTATAATATCGACCTTATCGATGCTGATGGTCTGCTCAATGCTCTGTGCTTTCCTCGTCTCAAATCCTCCCTTTCATGAGGCGTTATCAAAGTGAGTTACTTAACGTTCCCTCTGAAGAGGCTCTACACGGCACTGGAGGCCATTCTCTATAAGAGAAGCTTTTATATAGAGCCTCAGAAGCATGCGCTGCCTGGGTTATAGGCATCGGCCAAATGCCGGTCTGGGGAAAATCCGGTTAATGAGGTAGCATGATGCTGGCAGTCTATCTAAACACCCTAGTTGCAGCCGGTCTCACAACGTCTTTGACAGCATTTTGGCTCGATTTTCGATTTTGCAAAACCTTGAAATTATTCAAGCTACAGATCAGTAAAGGATAAGCTGGAAAGTTGCTGTAGCAAATTTAAAATGGCTCTGAATTATTTTGAAGACAGACCCACCTAGCAACTTTTTTCTCTATAAATTCCCCAAAGTGAATTGCAGGTTAATAACTATAAGAACCAGGCTTCAGGCTTCGCTATTGTTTAGGATGAACCTCATTTCTCAGACTAGCCTCTGCTCATTTCCACAGAGCTGTATGGTCCTGCCTCTCCCACATGTCATCAAGACCTCTCTTAACTTCTTAAGAGGATTAACATGTTCTGTAATAAGCGTAGCATCCATTCCATTTCAGCTCCATTGTCTCACTCTTATTCAAGATGGCAGGGTTAACAACGAATTTCATGTAGAGCGTCCATGTTCAGCCTGGCTCAGCTGTTCTGAAGGCCCACAAAGCACAGATAGAGACGTGGGATTAGGGAGGTATGCTCGGGGAGAAGAATCTCATTACGGGACATAATGCTCCTGGGTGTGATGCAGAGCTTCAATCAGTGCTGATTGGTAACAGAGACCAAACTCGAGGTGTGAACAATGGACCGTATCTAATGCATATGTGATGAGCACTGAGAGGTTTGCCTATATGTCTGTTTCTCTGCCTGTCTGTCATTGTTTGTGTTTGTCTTAAAACCTGACTGCACATATTCCAGTATTAAGAGGTAATTAGTGTCCATGGCAACAGCTTTTAAATCAGCCTGAAAGACACTGTATATTTTAATGTAATCAGAGGGAGAGAAGGGAATAAGGATATTACGTTGAGTTTATGCAGTATGGTATCACTGTGGCATACTTAGCAAAGCAAACTAGACTGAAGTCCACAGCAATGTAACAAACTTATAAACGTATCAATTTATTTCCTCCGCTTTCTATTCATGTCTGTACAAGTCCACAACGACGTAGCACACTAAAAATGTTAATAGAGAGGCTCGTCTGCCTTTACCCTGTCATTTTTGTGTGTGTTCACTGGTTTACTGTCAGCGCTTGCTGCATAGTGTGGGGGATAATCATCAGCTTGGTGGAGATGGAACAATGATCGAACGCAACTCTAATTATCCAGATTGCCGTGAGCAGCCCAGGAGATGTGCCGCCTCAGCTTTGACTTGCTGATCAGGTGCAGTGCTGTGCTGACTGACTGACTCACCAGTCGTCTGAGTAACCGTCTCTCCACCAGTAGTTTTAAAACCAGATGTAAACGGTCTGCTACAAAGCTCATTCCCAGACGGAAGTGGGGAAGTTACACTTGAAAAGACTTTGAAGGGGTAAACAGGGCTGAAGTGAAGAGCCCCTCATTCCAGCCTGGGTCAACTCCATTACTAGGACCAGCTGATTTTAAAGGTCCAGTGTGTAACATTTAGGAGGATCTATTGTCAGAAATGGAATCTAATATTCATAAATACATATCACCTGATTATAGGAGTCTTTGTGTTTTTATTACCTTAAAATTAGACATTTTTATCTTTAAACGCTGCAGGTCGCCTTCCATGTCCGAGTCCACCATGTTGAACCACCATGTTTCTACAGTAGCCCAGAACAAACAAAGCAAACACTGGCTCTAGATAAGGCATTTCGCATTTTTTCCCAGGTCTTCAAATACAGATGCGAGCGGTGTTAATTGCAACCTGCAACTTCACCGCTAGATGCCACTAAATCCTACACACTGGTCCTTTAAATCAGCAGAAGGTCCAAATGAGACCATCAAGACCAAGAAGGAACTAATAAACAGCCACAAGCTGTGTCTCAATGCCAAGCTCCATACTAATTCCTGTGATTACTCTGGATGATAAATACTCAACAATGTCAGTATTTCGCTTGAGTTTTTTTAGGACTGCTGTGGTTAATTCAACTCTATGCACACATCTTTTTCACAACAGACATGTTAAATTTCTCATAGTATGTAAAGCACAGTTGTAATTAATACTATTAATGATGACTCTGTTCTATTCAAGTGTCCCAGCAAGCCAAGACAGTGTGACAGTGAGTCAGCATGTGCGATACCAAGACTCAGACTAAATAGAAATCAGTAATTTTATTATTTACACATGTGCTTTAGTCCAAATGTCTTCTGTGGAAAGGGCCTATTATACAGTATGTGTTACACACTCATTTATGTAGTATTCACTGTAATGTTTGCAGTTAGTTTGCAAAACAAATTATGTTCTTTACCATTTTTTAATAGGAAATGATGGAATATATCCACCAACGGATGCACAATCAAACTGCGGCTTTGAATTTTCCATTATAATTTAACTTCCAAAGACTTAATGCAGATGTTTTCCTACATTTTTGGACACTGGAAAATCATCTGTATTTAAAAAAACTGCTCAAAATTGGCATGTAGTATGGAATTGGGACACAGTCAGTGTCGATTGTCGCAGAGTGGATTGCTTAAAGGAAATTGAGGAGCTGCTTGAAGCTTTGAATTGTGTGGGTCCTCTAAATATGTATAATATATATATATATATATATATATATATGAGAGAGAGAGAGAGAGAGAGAGAGAGAGAGAGGGATGTAATCACACTTAGCTTCTCTACGTTCTAAACTCTTAAATACACTACACAATAGATTCAACATCACAGGATTCTGTGAAAAGTGTGTTTGTCTGCTGGCAGGGAAAACGTCCGTGTTTATGTATTTTCCAACAATGCATCTTGATGATTCAGCTGTTAAAGGCACACCATCACGGTGACGTCCCAGGTTCAAATCCGGTCGGGGACGTTTGAAGCGTGTCGTCCTCTCTCATCCATCCAGTCATCCTGTTCAGTGAACTGCCCAAACAAAAATAATCTAAAAGAAACAGGCAGGACATTTTCAAATCAACACCTAACAGCAGCAAAGACAAAGTCTGACAACAACCTGGATGTAAATGTATTTGACAGCCGCTTAAACGTATGATTCATGTAATTGCGCACTGCGGCTGGAAGTTGCATGGGCTGAACCTATCCGTCATCAGCACTACCTCCTGAGCTGCAGTCGCTGGCTGTCGGACCGTATCGGCGTGGCCCTGTTACTGGCGGTAGATAACAGACCTCACGACGACACAGGACTTAAATCACAGTGTCACTTTACAGCTCTGCCACCTGGGCCTGTGTGACCCGGGTCGCTGCTTCCCAGCCAGCTGCTCCTTCATAGCGTGTATATGTACGTTTGTGTGCTTGTTTGTGTGGATGTGTGTGGGTTTTCACAGGTGTGAAACTCTCTGTTCCTGTGGGTTAGTGCAGGCAATTTTATTTATCCCTGTGAGTACCTATTCATTCCTGGGGTCCTTTCCTATTCCACAGAATCAGGATTCTTTAGCATTTTATTTCTATAACTAGGCATTTAGAATATTCTTTTAACCCTAGAAGACTAGTGAATCACATTTAATGCATTTCTGACACATACAGACACGTTCCTTTATAGGTTTGCATCCTTCTTCTTCTCTTCTTTAATTGTCTCACTGTGGTTTACCTGAAAGAGAGAGATGTTATATTCACACGCACGGTCAGTCTTTGAGGTATGTAAAGGTAGGTCATTTAACAGTGTCTGAAACAATCACTTCACCAGGAGATCCGCTAGACATTTACACGAGACTTCATAGGTGAGCTTTAATTACATTTAGATATAGCTCATTTACTTTTGTCTACTTACATTTCTGCCAATCATTTTTCAGCACATACAGCATGAAATTAGATTAACATTTACTTGTTTTTAATGTGCAAACTTTATGGCGTCACATCTGTTTCGTAATTACCTCCTGTTCTGTTAAAAACAAAGACATGGATGTCGTGCAGCTGTTCCACTTGTTTCATTTGACAGACAAACTTTGACATCCAACACACATTTGCATATAGATCTGCAGTTGAAACAAATGATGGTCACATTACCCCTGTCCTTGTGCCAGCATGTGAATCATCGTGCTCAGGGTACAAACAATATGAGCAACTGCTCATCAAAACAACACTCAAAAGCATGACTCGCGGTCAAAAACTCCACGTGTGACCTTTAACTTCAGGAGAACACAGGTGCCATTTAGTCATAGCTCATTTACTTCCGTGTACTCCAGTTTACATTACTTTCAGTCATCCTCATATGCAGCCAGCATGAAATTAGATTACTTGTTGTAGCGGACGATATTTTATGGTGTCACGTCTGGCTCAAAATTAACTCCTGTTGAGATGTCGGAAATAAGAAGACATGAATGTGACAGCAAATTCTGTAAGGTGACATGTTTCTAAAGGGATTATTTTATGATGAAGACTCTGGTTTCTTGGTGTGGTTGTCAGATGAGAGAAAGCACAGTGTGATGTAAAACAAAATTCTTAACTCAGTGAAATGGAGAAGAAATTGAGGAACTGTGACCAAAATTTGAAGAATCAAATTTGGTCACAGCAATAATAGTCTGAGGACTATTATGAAATTATTTTTCACACTGGGCAGGAATCAGTGGCAAAAAAAAAAACAGAAGTCAGAAAAATTACGCCCTGCTAACTCAAGTGGTGGAGCGTAC